GGTGATGAACGAAAACCACTACGTTTTTCTCTCTTTTCTAACTGGATGAAACAGAAACGGCTGTCGTCTGACATATGCGTGGCGCTTCAAAAACTACTTAAATCATCTTAACCGACGACGTTTCACTTCCTGGAACTTATACCGAATTTAAGATACCCTCCAACTACCCCCCCCCCCCGCCACCCCGTCAAATCGATCTCTCCTAAACCACCTCCCCGTTCTGTCCCTTCCATCTTCTCTTCTATTTCTTCCTTCTTCTGTTCTTTTTTCCTACTTACTAAAAATAAATTTATTCTGAGACAGAAAGAGAAAGAGAAAAAAGGACGTTTTTAAATTGTTAATCTTTATCGGTCATCATGTCACGTGGGAAGTGACTTACGAATAAAAAAAAAATGTTATTAATAATTAAATAATTTAATAATTTCTAATAAATAATGAGTTAATTTTTATAATACTGAATAATTTAGTTGCATATTTGTACTCATAATTATCCCGTTAACCGGGTGGAACGTATAAATACGTCAAACGTATTGCTATAAAACTGAAGGTATAAATCTCTCTATGTACTTTATATATAAATAAACGAAAAAATATATATTTCATAGTCTTTTCATTTATTTTAAGCATAAATAATAATAAATAATAAAAAATATTATTTGAATAAGAATATATTTTTAAAAGTGAAATTGTGATTTGGTTAAGAGTACGTTGAAATGTTGAAAGACTTTGAACGAAAGAAGGAAGAAAAGTGTAGGTAAATTCGAAAAAGATTAGGGAAGAAGGAGGTCGTAGAACGACGACAGGAGTGGTCTACCTAGAGACGTTCACGTTACTTGCTTGCTTGCTTGCTTGCTTGCTTCCTAGGTTGCTTGCTTTTACGAGACACTAGTTCGCTGGAAAAATCAATAGTTAGCTATGTGTGTTAGTATTATTTCACGGTATACATGTTCTCTTCTCTCTTTCTATCTCTTTCTTTTTCTCTCTCACTTTTTTCACAAGCCACCCTCTTCCTCGTCGAAGCTTGCATGTCGAAGCGAACCACTAAAAGAGGGGCATTCCGCACGAGTACACAGGGCCAAGCGTTTCTTCGATACTCTCAGGTGACACCAATGGTAACAATCTTTTACAATATTAAATATTATAATTTTGATATTACATTTTTGATTCTATAAAAAGACGGGATATTTTATTCGACAAACTATTATTTCTAAAGAATTTTTATTAAAAATGATAAATCCTAGAAAATGTCGAAAAAGTAATGACCCGTTTTTCTAATAAGAAAATAAAGACGCTGACATTTTTCGAGTTTACCAGCAGCAACCGTTGGCTCCAAACCAGAAAGGATCAAATTTCCTACGATTTTGATATATCTTGAAATGGTGAAAAATCTTAAGAAAAGGATCTGTCAATGTGTGTGTACTGGTGTAGTAGACCAGCTTTTCTTTTCTTCGAATTCCTTTTCTATGAGGATTGAAGGAACTTACTTGAAAATCTTTGACGATATCGTTAGAAGGAATAATAAGAGTCGCAAAACCTTATCGTTCAACGAAAGAACCCTCTCCGACGACGACAACGACGACGACATCAACGTACGAGAGACTGCATGTTGCAAACGAGCGACTGAGAACTCTCATAAAAAAGCTAACTAATGGATTTTCTCGTTTCTTAGACTTTACACCGGAAACTGAAATTTATTTATAAAAAAAAAAAAAAAAAAAAACGTATAGGAATATACCTCGTAAATGTCTCGATTAACAATTCACGCGAATGGAATTTCAAAGGAATGATTATTTATTAGATGTTACTCAACGATTACAAATGATTTCTATTTAATTTAATTCCCAATTGATCGATAGAGAAATGTGATGGAAATATTCAAAGATTCCTTTTAAGAGGACGAAATAAAATAAATATGTAGCGGAGGAGGAGAGTGTGAGAGATGTAAAGTCGCGCGACACGATAAATCGGCACGTCGACTTGAGTTAAAGTCCTGTTAAACGGCTCTACTAAAGAATGAGAGAGATAGAGAATCGTAAACGACGATAAAAGGGGGACGGACGGTTCGCCTTAACAAACGATCGGACCCCTGGACTGTCGTGGATTTAGACCGTTGACGACGTAATTCGATCGGTCGTGTTTACACGCTCGGATTATGTAACTCGAGCGATAGCATCGATGAATCTCAGTCGGCTTAAATTCTCTCTGAAAAGCAACGTAATTCGGAAGCTTCAAAAGCGGGAGGAAACACACTAATGCACGCAAATGCATCAAATTAGTATCTGATTACCTCGTTGATCTTTCAAATGATTAATCCTTTGACGTTTCGCTTTATTAAAGCAACAACAAAAAAATACTAATAAAGTCATTCAATTAAATTTATAAAATAAAATAAAATAAAATAAAAACGTATATATATATATATAAAATACTAATAAAGTTCTCCAATTACATTTATAAAATAAAATAAAAAAAATATATATATATATACCGAGTAAACATTAATCTTTAAACATGGAAATAAAAAATATGTGAATGTACTTTAATATTAATAGTAGTAAGAGGTGTTATTAGATTAATGAAACCGACACGATAATTAAAGCTAAAGCAAATAAACCTAGACAAACAGAACGAGAAATGAAAGATTTCAATTAATTAGAATGATAAATATTTTCTCTCTATCGACGGAAACACCTACGCTTGTAGTTTTATTCGTTCGTTCGTTCGTTCGTTGATTTCTGGTCAAATTCCAGAACTGTTTATGCGTCTTTACGACACTAAGTATAACACATACAAGCATTTTCGAAGCTTGCCAAAAGTGTGTTGGTAAAACGTGTTGTTAGAGGAAGACACGGTTTTCTTGTAAATTCTACGAGATTTGTATACGATTTGATTTTTTTTTATCAAATTACCTTCTTCTAAAGGAAAAACGTTTGTGACTAACTAACTAACTAACTAACTAACTAACTAACAAACTAACTAACTAACTAACGAATTAATTAACTAACAACATTACCGATAATAAAAGAAATGTTTTCGTTTACATATTCTCATTTATTTTCATTCCTTTGTAAACGCAAGAACGTTCCTAGGTAAATTCTTTTTAAATTATTAATTAAGCGAAAAACAGCTGGCCAAAGGATTTTCTAACATCACAGAAGAATTAGATAAATGCTCGTGTATATTTGTATATATATATGTGTGTGTGTGTATTTATATATGCGAGCGTGTCTAATCTTTGGAACACTTGCAAAAATGTTGCAATGCTTATTTAACAAAATGCAAGCGATTATTTAATGTAAACCTTTGATAATTGTAAAATATGAAATAAACTAATTTTATCTGTATCTGTATATGTGTGTTTATTTCGTAAAAAATGAAAGATGTTTTTAAGTTAGAAGAGATTTCAACGGTGACTTCATTCGTAAGCTTGACCTTCGACAACTAAGATGTTTATTTTTTCTTTTCATGTTAACTACGAAAAGGAATGCGAGCATAATATTATCAACAAAAGATTCACCAGGCAGAGACATATATATACATATATATGTGTGTATGGATATAGACACGTTTGTACACGATCGATAGAAAAACTATACACGGCAACGTTTAAAATCAATATTATTTTTTACAGCTTTGATAGAATGTACGAAATGATAACATTTAGATAAAATATTGTAATGAACTCATTTACATGTACTGCAAATAAAGAAAATATCCCAATACTTCCTGCAAAATCAAACAAAGTTACCAATTTAATGTAAATGTATCGATATATTTCGTGTGATTTAAAACAAAAATAAGAAAAATGTAAATATAAATCTGTATTTAATTTTATAACATATATATATATGTACTTCGAGTAAAATATTGAACGATTTGATATATATATATATATATATATATATATATATATATATATAATAAAATAATAATATAAAATAAATCTTTTTAATAAAAAATTCAAGATCATGATATACTTAGTTCGTTGAATTCGTATTAATACGAGCTATAATACTGTAAGACCAAAAAGATATAGGGTGTCATTTAAAAAAACAAAAAGGTAGCCTTAATAAACAAAACAAAACAAATTTTTTTAACTTTTTTTTTTTATTGAAATTTATAATCAATCAAAAACAGATGAACTTTTGTTTAAACTATTTTTTTTGTCAGATTATTGCAAGTACTTGAAAACTAGTGAATACAGTTATATGGGATACCCTGTATTTAAATGTGTACTATTTAAAAAATATATTCGTTCGAAAATTGTATGCAAATGTTATTGCATTGCATTAATAAATCGTTTTAAACTATAGCTAAAAAAGAGAGAGAGAGAGAGAGATAACAAAAAACAGGTGTACGATATACGCTTTGTAAGCTACACTTTTATCTCTCGCTAATGGTTGATGTTTGTGCTTGATGAAGAGAGAGAGAGAGAGAGAGAGAGAGAGAGAGAGAGAGGGAGAGGGAGAGAGAAAAGATAATCTTGTACTACGGCAAATAGCAAATAAAGCTAACAGCCACGTGTACGTATGTATGTGTATACGCCAAACACAAATAAAACACAAAGAGATAAGTGTTACAACCAAACAAATACCGTCAATGTTTTTTACGAACTGGTGCTGCTGCTGTTTAATCGATGATTGCTTTTTCGAACGAAAGATAGAAACTTTCAAACATAATCTATCAAAATTCCAATCTCTTTCTCTTTCTCTTTCTCTCTTATCAAATTCGAATAAATGTTTGTACTGAAAATATTTCTCATGCAAATATCACTAAGAACTAACATATAAATGTAAATAATAATTAAATTGTAATAATATAACATAATTGATATATCTGCAAAAGATTAATTATAATGACAAATATAAACAAAAAAGATAATTGACTTAAAATTATTCAAAAATTAGAGTAGATGATATCGTAATTTAGTGATACGAATGGAATAAAAGTTATTTTTTTCAATGAGAATATAAAATCTGCTAAGCGACGGATCGACCTACCTCGTAAATATCGATCCCTTTTTCCCTCGAAGAAGAACGTGGATGACGTTGCTGTAGAATACAAACGACGACGACGACGACGACGGCAACGGCGACAACGACGACGACGAAAACGAGGACGACGACGACGACGAAGACGATGTTAAATGAAATGAAGGAAGAAAATACGTAAGGTGGTAGTTTAAACCAAGAGAAGGCAGTAGTACGAGTCTTGCATTGGTCAAACTTTCTTCAGACACAAATAGAAAAAAGACAAAGAAGGAGATATAGATTAATAATAGAGAATACACGAGTGGACGATAGTCATTTGAATTAACAAATGGACATTGTTACAAATATGAGAGGACGGCAAAATTGTTAAACTTTGTCACATTTCAATTGAAAATATTATTATTCGTTCATTTTCACTACGACGACGACGACGATAACACACGTGCTCGTAATAATCTTTCTAACCGGTTTTCTTTAAGTTCTTCGAAAAAATCACCAAGAAAAAAGATATCACAGTTAAAATCAGATGATGATCTTATTCTTCTTCTTCTTTTTCTTCTGCTTTATTTTCTTCTTTTTCTAATATAAGATAAAATCAAAATAAACACATCGATTATCTAGTCGGCAAATACTTATATATATATAACGTTGGAAGCACACACACGTTAATTTCTTCCTTCGAGTTTCTTTCTTAATTTCTCTTCTTATCGATAATATTCACCCGCACAATGTTTTATATTAATAGATAAACAAATAATCAATCGTACGTTAAGTATAATCGATTCGGTTTAATCATTCACTTCCTCTTGATAAACACTTGCTTCCTCCTTTTTTCTTCTTCTTATTCTTCTTCTTCTTCTTCTTTTATTTCGGCGATGATGATTACGTATCACCTGCGTGTAACGTAGAATTAAAATATTTCTTTGAAACACTATAGAGGAAAAAAATGAAGGATCGAATTATTTTGTCCGATTGATATGAAAGAGGTTAGGGTGGGGAGAGGGGAGAAACAAATAATGATTTGATCAAAAATTAGTAATAATAAATATATGAGATAGATAGAAAAATGGAAGGGTGGAAACAATGAGGTAAGAAAGATGACAGAGAGAAAGAGAGAGAGAGAGAGAGAAAAAAAAGAGTGACGGTACGAATCGTAAACGCACCCCGAATATACCACAAGAATAAAGATGCGACGCGCGCAAAGGGCCACGCACGACTAACCGAACTCGGGGAAGTTCGGGGCTAGCGCTTGCGCATCGGCCAAAGTCACGTCGAGCCGCCGATACTATAACGCGACGTGGTGGGAGAAAATAGTGAACGAGAGTAGTGGGGGTGCCTGGCCCGCTACACACACACACGCACACAACCAAAAAGCACCCTTTCGAATATTCTTCGATATACTGATTACAAAAACTTTTGTTTTCCTTTTTTTGTAATCTTTCCTTTTTCTAATTCCAATGATTTATATACATGTATGGTAATATTAACGTATCTTTAAATTATTAATTACAATTTTTCATTTATAAATCGAATAAAATTTATTTTATATTTTATCGAACATTTGAATTATCGAAGCGTTAAAAATCATCGATACGAAAGTTCTACACGGGTCAGCCATTAAAATATGAAACGTTTGTCTCGTATAGTCCCCATTGATGTATCGCACACATAATCGATCTCATTTTTCTCGAACATATTTTAAATCTTACCTCGAACGTTTTTACCGTGAAAAGAAAGTAACCTTTTTTTCAGTTTTTTTTTTTTATCTTTATCCTTCGAGAGGAGAATTTTTTAAACGATCTATGTTTATGCAATATTTTCTTTTTTCTTTTTCTTATTTTTTATATGTAAAATATGTTTGCAACGTTTGCTTAGATTAACATGTAACATCCGGGATATAAATCTAGAAAAGAAAGATAAGAAAGACAACGAGAGATGATTACGATAAAGTACGAAAGCAAATATCTTTCGTTGATCCCAATGGGATTTATTTATTCGATGAAACGTACGATACTAGGGGAAAAATCGCATCTAACGATAGTAAAAATGACAAGGAAGGAATACCTTCGACGAACAAGAACGTGTACGTCATTAATCTAAAAATAAACAGGCCTATCTCTTTCTCTCTCTCTCTCTCTCTCTCTTTTTCTCTGTTATCGCACCTATGGATGAACGATACGATTCTCGATTCAAAGCCCGCATTCCTGTTGAATTAGACATTGATAAAAATATCAAAAAGACAGCGTGGTATGCAGTGATCACCTGATATGACGATCGTTAAGATATTTGCAGAATATGAAACAATTCGTTTTATACGCTATAACAATATCAATTTTTTATATTTTTATTATATGTTTAATTAAAAAAAAAAAAAAAAATATGTATATATAAGAAATCCTGTCCTCGAGGTAATACTTTTGGAAATAAATTCTATGGTTTTACAAATACACAGATACATGTACGTATATTGTACACCATATATATGTTTCAAAGAATATTCAAAGAAACATTCAGTTCTTCGATACACCGACTCATTCTCTCTCCTTCTCTCTCTCTCTCTCTCTCTCTTTCTTTTTCTCACTTTCTTTTCCAATTCTAGTAGAATAAGAATGTATATTTGAATATCATTCTCTCCTTTTTCTTCTTTGGTTATCATCCTATGCATAGAGAATATAAGAACTTAGAAGATACGATTGAAAGAATCTTTTTGAACCATCGATGAGTAGAGAAAAGTACTATAAAATATAATGGGAAAGTATTTTCAAATATGGTTGTGAGGTTAAAGGTTAATATTATGTCGAATAAAATTTATTCAAATGAATTATTTAATGAAATTATTATAATATGAATATTTTCATCGATTTCCAATAATTATATATCTCCTTACGTAATTACAATAAGATATTAGTCTATTAATTAACATTAGATGATTAAAACGAACTCAAAGGTAAGTAACCATTTGTTCAAATTTTGAAATAAAACTAACGAACGAGAGAGAGAGAGAGAGAGAGAGAGAATTGTCGCAAGTCTGAGAAAATAAAAAATCTTATTATTATTTGAAATATTCCGAGTAAGGAAAAATCCGCGTAAAAGAATGGTGGATTAATTAACGTTGATTAGATACGTGACACCATGCGTAGGTTTCGTTTTACTTTCTAAAGTAATTGTCGGCACCTTTGAACGGGTTTTTCTTGACGCTCGAAACGTTTTATTTCTCTCTTTGGTTATTTACTTCTAAAGATCGAGTAAATAGAAAAGAGAAAGTAAAAGTGACAAACATCTTCTAACGAGATTAAAGAATATTGTTACTTTGAACCGTACAACAAATGAAATTTTTATCTTATCAAATGTTATTTGACAAATCTATCTATCTAAAAAAAAAAAAAAAAAAAAAAAAAATAAAGAAGAAAAAAACTTCTGTCTTAGAAGAAAGAAAGCAACAAATAGGATCAAAGTTTGATAGCACCGAAAAACCGGATAGAAAGTTGACAATTTGAAAATATCGATGGAACTCGTAGAAAACACCTCGCTTGGGGAAAATCTATCGACCTGTTTGCATCTTGTCTCGTTGACTATAGTCAACGACGATTTTATGATAGCTCATTTATGGCATTACGACGATGAATCCACGAGATGCTAGAACAGTTATTGCTATCTGTTGTATCGAATCGTCTCATGGAAAAATAGGTCAATGAGAATTCTTACGAAATCTTTTTAAGATCAATGAATATTTTATGATCCTGCTAAACAGATAACTTCGCAACAAATTGAAAATGAGCGAAATTATTGGAAAAACTTTAAAGGATAAAAAATATATATATAAAAGGGTCAGATAAAGAGAATAAAATTAGTGGATAAAAATAACTCTAGAAATTTTTAAAATAACTTCTTTATAATGGAACACGAGTAATTTCAAGTCATCGTTTTATTTCCCATATCTATCATTTCCTATATAATAAAGGAGTAATCTATAGAAGCAAGTGTGTCCCTTATTGCCTGTAATTAGGTTAGACATTATGAATTTACTTGGCCACATAGGCCAATGGTTCTTGTTACAAAGTGCCACAGGTGATAAGAGTTCTTCAATCGATCTTCTGATGTCAGCTTTTCCATTGAAAATTGAAGACACAAAGATAAGGAATGAAAATACATATACCTATATATATATATATATATACCTACCGAGTATTATACATTCAAATGAATTAGTAAGTTAGTAAGATTAATGAATAAAATATATATCGTAAATGTGTTTACGATGAACTTAGTAAATATTGCGTTGAACCATTAAATATACATCATATTTCAATATTTACCTGTTCAATTATAATTCACAATGTATGCTAGATATTCCAACTCACGTAAGCGCAATCGTTGATCGTGACCTACCATGAGATAACCGTGATTGACAGGAGGATAATCTTCCAGAAGACTATAACGCTACTATAGGAAGCAGTTAGGTGTTCTATGCCGTAGCACGTATCACGTAAGATTAATATCGATCGTTCACGGATAAGATAAGATAAAACGAAGGAACTTTAACTGGGACGTTACAAATTTTCTTCCTTTTCAATCTTAACCCATAGACAATATAAAGCATCAATGGCAAATCCATACAAGGGGGAGGGAGAAAAGTATCTTAAAAGAAGATTTGATCAAAGATGATGTGATGCTGATGCAAATGCTGATAATGATGCCGATGTCAATGATACTTATCATTTCCTATATTCTTCGAATAAAAGATTCTATTTTTCTTGATCGTTCATTCGGAAGAAAATACGATTGGCAAACAACTCTGGATGATGAGAAGTAACGCCCGCTAGCTAAAGAGAAGTGGCTCGAGTTGAGATTAACGAAACAATAGGAAAAGAGAGAGAGAAAAAACTCGCTAAGCTACCGATAGGAGTCCCGATACGTTTTCAACGAGCAGCAACAACCAACGGCAGACCATTCCAAACGCATCGACGAACAAAAGGAGAAACCAGAGAGAATGAGTAAAAAAGAGAAAGAAAGATAGACATATACATATATATATATACACATGGAACGACGATGCAGGTGAATCTCTTTCTTCCTCTCCTTTATTTTTATCTTCACGCCACTTTCGAAGCACGTACGAGAGGAGTCTCGATGAAGTAGACAGGGAGAGAAATGGGGGAATGAGAGAATCGGAGAAAGAGGAGGAGGAGGTAGTGGGATGTGGGTGGCAAACGCATTCCGTTATTGATTCTACCAGCAGTGATTTCGAAGAGGCTTCGCGTAAGCCATTTGTTTGTGAAGTTGAAGAGAGAAAAGCGTGAGAAGGTGGTAGATGATAGAGGACAAAGGAAAAAAAGGAACGCTTTATCGGATTCTAACGATGGCGAATCGATAAAATTGTAGGAAAGGATTTTTTTTCTTTTTCTTTTTTTTTCTTTTTTGTTCTTTTCCCATTGCCATCAGACCCGTCAAAGAATTACGCCTGCCTAAGGAAATACGAGAGGTGCGAACAAAAATGAGAGATTTTGTGGAATGCTAATGGTGTTCCTAACTGAACGAAAATAAATGACGACGAGTCAAAGAATTAATTAAAGGAATGGAGGAGGAATGTTTGGGTGTTGATTGGAGAATCCTATGGGATCGTGATTAACGATAAAAGATGAGCTATGAGATTATTTGTTCCATCTCATTGACCTATCGAAAGTATGTCACGATTTGTTAAAAGCTTTTTCTTTAACCCTTAGATATATATATATATATATATATATATATATATATATATATGCTGTGGATGCATATATGCGTTTCGTAAAAATTACCATAAATAATTACAATTCGACTCATATACGTATTTGTTAATATTAATGTAGAATAAATGTAATGTTTATATTAATGAATTAAATTCTATTCAGAAAGAAAAACTTTAATTATTAAATATAATTTATTATTAAAATCTGATTAATAATAAATGATGCCGTTCCTACAAAACATTTTAGTTAAAAGTATTCAGCACTCAAAGGGTTAAATGAGAATGAAAATATAGCATATTTATTTGTGGAGTATTGAAAATTTTAATGATTTAAAGTTATAAAACAAAAAAGAAAACAAAAATGAAACGTTAAAAGAGAAAAAAAGAATTGAACATATGTAAGAAACATTAAGTGTAGGGTAAAAAAATTAAAATCTCATCTTGGCAAAGCAAGAAAGTAATAATAAAACGTGTGTCACAGGG